CTTTAAAATATAAGAATCTTTGGCAGTAACACAGAATAAATTGTGCGACAATAGGTGCTGCAAATCCTAATTGAGAACAGAGCGCATATTAATTGATGCCTTATCTAGAGTTCTATGTTCTAAGTCCTGTGTTTGAGCTCAAGTTCCATTACTGTTCCAATAATTTTAGGCTAGTAATCAATTTTATGGATTTTATTAATCATATTCAAATACTATTTAATTGACATTAAATTTAAACATGATTTTGCTTTCCAGTTAGTTTGAAGACGAGCTAACAAACATTGCATTCAATCCTAAAATTGGCTGAGCATAATGATTGGCATTGGCCAGTCATCATTTTCTCCACTTTAAAAAGATTGGTAACTTGTACAACAGTTTATTCATAAGGTGGTGTTTGATTTCACCTCTTGGTCTTCACCACATCATAAATAATGCCTAGAATTGTAGCACAGTGTTATGGTACAGCAATTAATCCTAAACTATTTGTCCCATGGGTATAGTCATTTTGGATTATATCTTATCTTCATTTTTGTATTTTCCAAGATATTTTATAGTAAAAGTTATTTTAGGTCTGGGATGCTTACAACCTTCACAGTGGTAATATCAAATTGGACAGGACCATTGTCTCGGCTATTTTTATTGCCGGAGGCAGTGCTAGTTTGCCGCAGATTACCATGGCTCCATTACTCCCTAGACGATTTCTGCTAATCTTAAAGGTGCATTTGTTGATAATCAGTGTAGACTTAGAAATCCCTGGATACGTGTATAGGTAATAACGAGCTTTAAGGCCAAAGCTGACCCTTAGCTGCTGTATATATGCAATCACAACCGAGCAAATGACTTTCCAAATGAAAAGGCGTGTTTTTTTAAAATGATAATAAATCAATCTTTAAAGAACTAGAAATACTTATTAGTTTTATTCTCTGCCGGGTTGTAAAAGAATAAGTAAGTACTCCAGCTTAAATACCAGACGACTTTCACATATACATACATTTAAAGAGGTCATACATCAAAAGGGGTCTTTTTTTAAAAGCGCTTTTTTGACAAGGAAACATTACTTTATTTAGTGAGTGATATCGTCTAGTTTGGCGACTTCCATGTACAAGCAATTTTCAAGCTGCAAAGGCTAAAAAGATTAATATAGTAAAAGAAATGGAGTGTTTTATGAAATGTCTTTTTAGCTTGAAAACTACATGTGTTTTAAGGAATTTTAATACAAAATATACTTAAGGAATAGATCTATTAATTTTCATAATAAATAACAGGATGCAAGCTTTCCCCCTAAAGGTTTAATGTGCAATAACAATTTACAATCTCTATGAAATTAGGTATTTTTTAATATCATCTAAACATCATTCCAAATAATCAAAGCATATGTAAATTATATATTTAAGAAGTTTACATCAATTCTTCGAATAGCTTTTTTATGCCTAATATTGAAATGTCATAGGTTGGCATATAGTTAACAGAGAGGGAATCATGCACCATGACTACTTCAGTGATTTTAAGTGGTTATGGTAGCTAGAGTTCTCCTTATAGAGCAATTTAGAGGCATCATTAGCCAGCCTGAAAAAAGAGTTCCGGTATGGCTAATGTCAAGTCTGTGCATTTTTTTTGCACAGTGTGCTCTTCATTGGCTGTAAGTGGTCAGCTAATGCTTTCAGCTAATGAACTGAGACTGGATTAGCTTTTGGCTCTGCGGAGGCATATCACCAGACATGAAGAAGTCTCAGAGCTTGATGGGGACCAATATCAGAGAAAAATAATTACTAAACTATTTGCCCCATTGCAGGGGAACTGGTTATGGGTATGACTGGCATTATAATTTTTCCTAATTCTTCTTAAATGATTCAGAGGAGAACTGGGTGAAAGTGTTGTGGCCAGAGTGCATGACATTATTAGAAACATGCCTAGTTAAAGTAAAATTAAGTGGTCATAACATCCTAACACCTCTTTGTTGCAAAACTCTGTAGAACACAAAAAGATTTGATGGAATACTGTAATTGAAGGAAATTCAAGCTTCATAAAATTCTGACTTATTCTCCCTATGTACTTGCAGTTTAACCTCTGGTAAAGTAAACTGAAGAATATAACACTATCCCTTTTTTTTATTTTGTTATCCTTTCCTTGTACCCCTTGGATCTTATTGATTATACTCATTCCCCATTATGACTTGACTTTTTAAAATTAATTATTTTACCTTCCTTTTGTTGAATCTCAATACCAAGATACCTTCATTTTGTTCTCTTCTGTTTGTGTCGTCTATTGTTTGCACTTTTGTGAGATACTTTTAACTGATGCTATTGTGTGCCAAAGATTTCCATTGGTGGGCTCCGCTTAAGAAAACGTAGTATTTATATAACTAAAAGACTAAGGAGAATTCCAAAGTAATAAAAATAAGGTTAAATAGAATGACAGTTTAAGAAAAGCAACAATGTTCCTTTAAGGGTAAGGTAAGGCTACCTTGGCTGTCATGCTTCTTCTTTTTTTTTAATATATATATATATATATATATATATATATATATATATAGTATAAGCACTTTAAACAAAAAACATATATTTGTATTCTTTTCAATATATTTATGAGAATTAATGTTTAAAACTGACAGAAAAAAATGGTTTTAATTGAAACACTATAGCCTGGTTGAGTGAACTTGTATGTTACAGACATAATAAAGGACTTATTTGTCACGTATTCTTCTTGATTGCTGATTGACACTGCTATCTGGGAAAAATAATCTTATGACTGCTTTGTTTAATTATGTGATTGCGTTTACTTTACTTATTATTTTCTTATTAACCATGTAACTAACTATGTGTATATGTAGCTATATTTTCCAGTTTGACAGTTTCTGTTGATTAAAGAAGATTTTTGACACATACTGACCTAATTAATTTCTGTCAGAATTCTATTAGAGTTTTTATTATTACAGGATATTTTGTTGAGTCTGTGGTTATAATCGGAGACAGATTAGTGGCTGTACATATGCATATATTACATTCATGTGATAGGAAATTTCTGATCCATTCCAGACAATTTAGAACTTTGGAATACATTCACTAGAGGGACGTCACCTCCTGTTGAACACTGAAAGGAATTACACATAATTAGATCTCAAGCCAAATGATTTGACATATTCAGCTTTAATAGTCATCGTGAATCAAATTCTGCCTGAAAAAAGGGAATTATTTCATGTTTGATTTTTTTTATATTTCCAAAACAGGCTAAATCATAGCTGCCTTATGAAGATAATTTCTTATGTTTTATCACCATCATCAATGTTATGTTAATGGTATATATCCTTGTCTGATTGTTGCAATCTACATTATATTTACTTATTTAACTGCGTTATGAATTTAAAAAATAGTAATGCTTAACATTAAAGTTTTTCATATAACATATTTCTGGAATCAAAGAGACCACAGTGCACATGGTTATTTACATGGTTATTCTTTAAACACTGGATTTTGTCTGGATGAGCAATATTCTTTAAAAATGATTGATCAAATCCTCACCACAATGGCAATGCTCATATAAAGACCGATTGAATCTGCAGCAATCACCTGGATGAATTCTGTGTCTGGATTAAAATCACTTCTTTCACATCTGAACCCCATACATCGTATAGGATTCAGAAGATGCACAATGTGATGCATGTATGAAAAATTAATTAACAATCACTACAGGATTTCCAGGCAGGATCCGAATCAACATAAATCGGACATAACAAATGTAGAAATTTTTTTATCTATTGGTTCCTGGTCGGAAACGCACCATTTCCACATGCAACTCTTATTTTGCCAGACCAGAACCAGGCCAAACATTTGATTCAATGTTGTCTTGGGAAAAATAATTAAACAAAAAATTTGGAATAGAAGATTGGTTCAGCTTTTTACTATCATTAAATTGTATCAACCAATGTATAACTCTTTTAGAAAATCATTATAAGATCCTATACAGGTGGTACCTTACTCTTTCTAGACTTTTAAAATTACAGCTTACAAACACTAACACGTTTTGGAGGGATTGCGGACAAGTCGGTACCCTATTCCATATTTTAGGGACATGCCCTGAAATTAAACTTTAATGGAATTCTACTGCTACTGAACCCACTATATGGGAGGTCTTAAACTTTGTGTTAGAAAGTAAAAGATGTGAATTGACACTTAGACCACTATTGCGGCCCCTTTGGCATCGAGTAAATAACGAGAGGAGAGCTTCTGATGGGTGCAGTACTTTTGCATCGAGGGTGTGCAGGAGGGTTGAACACCACCAACATTAATCTCTTTAACACCTTGAGCACCGTGAACCATAAGCACAGAGTATCGAGCACCGTGAAAACTATAAAATGTCATATAAATACATTTGTTTACAGAGATCACCAAAAAGGGGGTTACAAACAGGATTACAAATGTGGAGGTCAGTTATCTGCACACATTGATATTACATTAAACATCTGAGGAATACAAACTATATATAGAGATTTGGATTACACCGATTATATATTGACTAACAGCATGGACACAATTTATGCCTAAGAACATATATACTATTATAAGCAATGCACGTTTACTGCGTACCTCGCTCCGCTTGCCAAGGGGTGCACTTAAACTTTAGGAAACCTTAGTGACAATTGCCTCCCCACGAGGTCCTGCTGGCTTTCTTTGCATCTGAATGCTGAGTCACAGAGCTTTTTGCCTCCAAAACTAGAGGAAAACTAGAGGAGGTCTGCTGCTCAAACATTCCCCAGGGAAACAAAAGGAAGGCAGAAAGGTTCCACCTGTGGCAATCAGTGCTAAACAAAGATTTAAAGTTATAAGCGGACAGTTACACTCCCACCAAATCATGCCATGACGAATATAAAACTTAAGGAGTCATGTGTGATTTATAGAAAATAACGCTGACCACTATGGACATGAGTTTTACGCAATTAGCTTATAGGTACCTCTGTAACTCGCTATTGTGTTGTGTGTTAGTGTATCACTGGAACTGATAAACTATTTGCTTTCCATAATAACTGCTAGCTTTTGAATAGGACGTTCAATAATTGAAGGTTTTGATGCATAGTCCTTCTTATCTTGCAATCTTCTGTCACCTACTAACACATCGACTCGACGAACTAGACCATCCTTTTCTATTGTGGTTTCAATTACACATCCTAGCTGCCACTGGCATCTTGGAGACATATCTTCTTTGATGATAACTATGTCATTGACTTTCAGGTTATGTTGAGGTATGTGATATTTCTGTCTTGTGGAAACGCTCATGAGGTATTTCTTTTTCCACCGACTGCAGAACTGTTCTGCTAAATTTTGTATTCTACGCCACCTTTTAGCTGCATATACATCTTCCTTTACAAACTTCCCGGGTGGGGGTAATGCAACCTTGGATTTCATCAGGATGAGATGGCTTGGAGTTAGAGGTTCTGGTGCTTTGGGGTAGTTGATTCCATTGACAGTTAAAGGATGACTGTTAACAATGGCCATGGTTTCATAAAATAGAGTTCTAAGAAAAGCATTATCTAGTCTACTTGAACATTGGACTTTTGCAGCACTTAGCACATTAAGAATTGTTCGAATTGAAGTTCCCAGACTCCACCTGCATGACAGTGGGACAGGATTAACTGGGTAATGTGCCCTTGCAGAGGGGGCATTGAAGATAAACTCGCACTGTTCATCAGCTAGGAAAGTATCTAGTGCCTTGGTGTCACATTGCTTCAGAACGTCTTTAAGTTCGTTCTTTGCTCCTATGACGTTCGTGCCTTGGTCACAGTGGAGTTGGCAAACGACTCCTCTCAAAACTGATGAAACACCTTAAAGTATTGATGAAGAAGTCTGTAGATAAATGTTCGAGCATCTCAATGTGGACTGCATGTGAGGAGAAGCATGTGAAGATGAGACCATACCTCTTGTACTCCTTACAACCTTGTTTGGTGATAAAGGGGCCGAAACAGTCCATACCACAGTATGTAAAGGGAGCTGAAACTTCTACACATTCTTCTGGGAGCTCTGACATACGCTGCTTTACTATGGGACGCCAGAGCTTTCAACACTGTACACATTTATGTATTAACTTGGCAACTGACTTGCTCCCACCAAGCACCCAAAATCCATTTGCTCTGAATGCAGTTAGAGTTTAGCTGCGGCCCTGGTGACAAGTGGCTGCATGGTAGTGGGACAGGATTAACTGGGTAATGTGTCCTTCCTTTGGGAGGATGACTGGGTGCTTTGTTTCTTGAATAAGGGTTGATCTTGACAGTCTTTCACCAACACGAAGAAGTCCTTGAACCAGAATTGGGTCAAGGTAACTAAGAGGACTTGAACTTGGAAGACCATATCCTCTTTGAAGAAGTTTTAGCTCTTGGGGGAAAACTTGCTGTTGAACTAAACCTATCCCTCCCCAGCCTTCCTACGTTCCTCCACAGTCACAATATTGCTGCAGTGATATGTCTTCAATCTTATTCTCTTGATTCTTGCAATCACCTTAACGAGCATTAACCAACTGGAAAACTTGTTCAGATGATTTAGAATATCAATTTGTTCACTAACTTGTGATGCAAGGGTTGTGATGGGTTTGACTTCGGGGTCGCCTACAATCAGTTCTGCTGAAGAACTTGGAGATGCGAGTACTTCAGATTTCCATAGGAAACTAGGCCCAGATAACCAGCTTGAGGAGGAAATATCTGATACGTGAAGACCCCTGGATGCATTGCTGGCTGGGTTTTGTGCTGTATCCACATAATGCCATCGAGTTGGATCTGTAATCTCTCTTATGAGAGAGAAATCTTCTCGCTTCATTATTGATGTAGGCCAAAACTACCTGGGAGTCTGTTCAGAAGAATTCTTCGTCAATTTCTATTTCAAGTTCTGCTTTCAACATGACACTCAACTTTGCTGCGGTAACTGCAGCTGAGAGTCCAAGTCTTTGGAGGCTCTTGATATTCGTCGGCGCGACTTTTGCTTTAGCCATTACGAAGATGCAATGGTCTTGACCTATGTCATTCTTGTACCTAAGGTACGAATAGGCACCATATCCTATGTTGCTGGCATCGGAAAAGTGGTGTAGTTCCAGCTTCACTGTGTTACCGAAGTCTGGAGGATGGTTGCATCTGGGTATCTTGATTTCCCTTAAAGCTTGCAGACTACTCCTCCAGGCCTCCCATCGTGGGCTTAAGCTCTCAGGAAGTGCTTCATCCGAATTGATGCCCCTGCGGCAAAGCTCTTGCCACTCAGTATGACGGGAGCTATGAAGCCTAGAAGGTCATAAAGAGAGGCTACGACTGACAGGATACTTGAGGGTTGGTCCTTTATGTCAAAAGGTGTCGTTTTCAATTGACCACTAAATGCCAAGTACTTGACCTTCTGGTGTTGAGTCTGGGTTAAGTTGGAGAGGTTTACAAGTTGTTGCTCTTTCCGAAAGAACTATACAAGACAGGCCGTCCCTTTTATTAGAGTTGAACTTATGCAGTCGAGGACCAGCATTTTTGCATAATTCTTGTGCTTCAAGGATTAGATTTGTAGCTTCCCTGACTGTTGAAATGCTGGTTAGGCTGTTGTCGACATAAACATTCTTTTCGATGAAGACTCATACTGAGGGATAATCTGCTTTGTGTTGTCGTGCAAGATACTTAAGGTCGAAGTTGGCACATCCTGCAGAGGAGCTGGAACCGAAAAGGTGAACTGCCACTCTGTACTCTTTGGGTTCTGTTTCCAATTGACTGCTCTCCTACCAAAGGCACCTTAAATAGTTGTGCATTTCTGGTGGGATGTAGAACTGATGGAACATCTTTTCAATGTCGCAAATCACAGCAACTGCTTCCTTCCTGAAGCGACAGAGAACTCCTAGGGAATTTATTAGGTCGGGACCAGTCAGTAGAGTATTGTTTAGGGAGATGCCTTGGAACTTTGAACAATCAAAGACGACTCTTAAATTGTCTGGCTTCTTGGGGGGATAAACCCTGTGAAGTGGGATATACCACACCGTTTCTTCCTCTGGTAATGAAGGGGCTGGTTCTGCATTACCTTTTCTGATCGTTTCTTCCATGAATGCAGTGTAGTGTTCATGGTACTGTTTATTGGCCTTAAACCTTTTCTTTAGATGTTGAAGTTGCATAATGGTCAGCCTCTTATTGCTTGATAGTGCCGGTTGACTGTTGTCTTTGAAGGGTAACAGGATCTCATAGTGCCCATCTTCTCTTTTCATTATGGTTTCAGAGAGAAACTGCGAACATCATCTTGAGACATGTACTTATCCTCATACCTTCTTTCAATGAAGTCCATTTTCAAAGCCTTTAACATATCAGTGACTGGGGGCATTGGCATTTCTTTCACTGCTACCCTGTGTATGAAGCTCTGGCTACCCTGTCTACCAAGGTGTGGATTTGCGGATCCTGTAATGCTCCATCCAAACACAGTTCTTTGAGTGAAGGGTTTCCGAGCCAGTAACTACTTCTAAGGGGGATAATGCATATGGGCAGTCATACCCAATCAACAGTTCCGACTTCACAGTCTTGAAGTGGCTGTATCTTGTTTGCCAAGTGCTTGAGGTGTGACCACTGGAGTGCAGTCTTCTTAGTTGGAATGTGAGACTTATCTACTGGGATGAAATCTCTTGTGTAGGCTTGATGGAGTTGGACTTCAGCTTCAGAACTGAAGCCACGCACTTAAAGACAGTGAGCGATTTGACTTGATATGACTGTCGACAGCTGTCATTGTGCTGAGATTTAGCTGTAGTGGCTGGGTCCTCACACTTAGCTTAGATACTAGGTCAGCTAAAATAAAGGTTGAATCACTCTGCGTGTCAAGTAAGGCGTAAGTGAGGATTTCTCTCTGGGGTTCAGCTGTAGCTGCCAACAAAACTGGAACAATGCAGGATGTGGCAGAAGTATATCCAAAGAATACAGAAAAACACAGGGCGCCACAATCACTATATATATACTATATATATAGTGATTGTGGCGCCCTGTGTTTTTCTGTATTCTTTTGATATATATTTGAGGTTGGAGTGACCTCTTCACAGTAGCTTGCCTGCACTTATTTTTCTTGCTGCACCTCACTTATCTTTCATTTTATGTGGCAGAAGTATGCCTTGTCAATGTATGGGACATAAGTTTGGGAACGTTGTTGTTTGCTTTACTTCCTGTGGCTACTGGATTGTTGTTTGGCATTTTGACTGAAGTCTGATATTCTTGAGACTTATCTAATTAGTTCACAATGATTCGACTCCATCTGCACACGATCCATTCAGGCAGTTCCCTGAGAAGCTTGTAAATTTTTTTCCAATTATTTAAAATAGCTTGGCCCTTAACATGAGGAATGGCCTCGACACAACCTTGAAGGACATCTGCAAACTCTCTAAATGCTACAGGATCATTTGCTGATATCTTTGGCTATTTAGTCAGTCTTTCTCTGAAAGCTCTTTGGACAACAAATGGACCTTCATACCTTTCCTGTAGGATTCCCAAGCACCAAGATAAGCATCTTCTGAATTTCGATAAAATAAACCTTCCACTGCCTTACGAGCTTCGCCTCTGAGATAATTCTTCAAGTACAACATTTTTTTGCACACAGGGAGTGGTTTTTGATCAATCAGTGCCGTGAAGGATATCTTCCAATCTATGAACTTTAAAGGATCTTCTGTAAATACAGTTGGTTCAGGTATAGTAAGACGGGTGGAGATGAGCAGACTTGCAAGACCTGGAGTTAGGCTAATCTCTTCTTGTGGTCTTGATCCCTCAAGTGGTGTATTTGAAGGTTGAAATGGCACAGCTTGTGGATTTAATGAGGTTTGAGGTTCATTATTTTGGCCGAGGTATTGCACCTTATGGTCTGTCTTCTGCTCACAATCTTCAAGACCATCATAGACATTGTAAGCTTTCACTCGTGCCATTGATACCTTGACTTCATTTTCTGCTTGTAGCTGTTGTAGCCTTGTCTTTTCCTCATGCAACTTCAATTTAAATTTTGCCTCTTTAAGCTTTAATTCAATCTCCAGTTTGTTCAGCTTAGCTTGTTGTTCACGCAACTGTTGCATTGCCTTTGCCTGCTCTATCTTGGATGCAACATCAGCTTCTACATCTGCATGTTTGCTAGAAGATCTGGAAGTGGCTCTTGAGTTTGAATTGGAGTCTGGTAATGACTGATAGGACAGGTTCAGTGTTTCCAAACACTGACACGTACGTCTCCTTATTAAGTATCATCCTCACTCTTTCCTTCTCAAGTCGATCATTAAAGATTCCGTCTATATTCTCTAGCCGTTTACTGGCGAGGTTGCAGATTTCAGCTGTTAAAGCGACACATGCATCCATTCTCTTAACAACATCTGGGGTAGTGGAATGATTGCAGCGAATGGACTCTGTGGTGAAACCAACCTCGGCACGAACCACTGGAGAAGCCTGGTTGCTCGCCTGTTGCCTTTGGACTATGGCCCCGTGTTAAACAGCCTTCTTTTACCCTGCAGAAAAGGCTTGTTCGTGCCTTTCTGCCCAGCGTTCGGTAGATTCAATCTACCGAACAAAAAACCGAATGCCTGGACCACCTGTATTGGGAGTGTGTCAGCAATTTACCTCCCAGAAGCTGTGGTTAACCGCAGCTTAATTGACGAATGCTGGGTGGCCTTTGTTCGTTTGCCGAACACGTGGCAACGGCCATTTTAAAGTCCCGAACGGCCAGCGGTGTTCGACGAAAAACCCATGGAACTGAAAATGGACACCATTTGGCACGAACACCGCTGAAGCCACCGACCTCCCTTCTCGTTCGGTAGGAATCTCACAAACGTCCCTGTATTCGGTACTTTTGTCACGAAAAGCCATACCCCAGATAGCCATCCCGTGAAGTGTATTCGTATGGTGAACAGACTATGTGAACACTTTGACTCCACGGCGATTGGACTGTGTGCATAGGATCTGAGCGCTTTTGTACGCTCAGATCCCAGCTATCTGGGGACACGTTGAATGCCTGTATTATATCATAGTATTGCAAAGTTATATGTTTTTATGCATTTTTCCAATTGTCACCTAAGATGGCATTTAGGCTCTGTCCAGGGAGATAATTGAATTACTTCCCAATAATCTCCTGGGCAGAGCAAAGGGTCCTGGGTAATTAAAGGGAAATGGCTATGTGTGTAACTCTGTGATTGGCTATTGTATTTTCCTTGTCACAGTCTCCCATTTGGTCCCCTAGGGGAGTGTCCACCAGATGGGAGACCTGCATAAATACTGGGCAGGTAGCCCACATTAAATCAGATCACCTATTGACCTTCAACACCAAGCATTGTCTCATCTTTGGGGGAATTAATTTGTATGGTTTGATTATTTGCTGGTTCGGGAGTGTAAACCTATTCGTATGGTTTTTCCAGTTCGTATGTATGGAGTGTTCATATGTTTGAGAGGCTTCATATGGTTCCGGTCTGGGAGTTTGGAGAATTCGTGTGTTTCTCAGTTCGGGAGATTGGTGTTCTACAGTAGCTGCCTGTGTCTCTGGAAGGGAAGATCTCCTAAACAGCGGTTTAATCATTTTATACCTGGGGGTGCCATTACAGACTCATACTGTTGGTGTACTTACGCTTCTTTGGCTTTAATCTCCTTCAGTCTTGTATCAAGGTCTTCAGTTGAGCAGAAATTCTTTAACGTCTTCCTAATTTCTTTTGCTAGCTCCTTCCAAGAGTCGTACACCTTGTTGAATGCCTTTTCATTTTTCTTAACTGTTTCTTCATGCATTTCTTGGCCTTTTTCTGTTAAGCTTTGTTCTCTGGAGCTGGATCGCACCTGTTGCATCTGTTTGTCTGTTTCTTTAGCAGGTGACAACATTTTGTGTTAGTGTGCCTTTGCCTTTCAAGTGTATGTGTCTGCTCTCAATTTTGGATGAGTGTTGGCTCAAACTTGCTATTTAAACTACGACTGAAAAACGTCATTACACTTGTAAACTTATAAAGATTAGCAAACAATGCATACAACACGACAAAATATTTTAAACAAAATATACTGCTGATGCTTTCTAACCAGACAATTTACCCTTTAAGTAATTAAACAACAGTTCAGTAGAGTAGGACCTTAGTGTTGCGAACAATTTTACACCAGGCTCTTATATCACAAATATAATAACTTAATCACTGCTTTAGCAAAATATTAATTATTTGGCTTGCATATTAAACATATTAAACAGCCGGCTGTATTTAAAAGTCCACGTGACACGTTTACTTTTCAGTCTTTTCTTTGCTGCCATAATGGCGTCCGGGCCTGTCCTGCGAGGCATTGGGAAGCTTTTACTCACAGTTTGATGAAGACAGCGATGCAGCGTCGAGTCTCCACCGCAGTGACGAGTTTTCACTGTTGCGGCCCCTTTGGCATCGAGTAAATAACGAGAGGAGAGCTTCTGATGGGTGCAGTACTTTTATTATTTTGATGAAGACAGCGATGCAGCGTCGAGTCTCCACCGCAGTGACGAGTTTTCACTGTTGCGGCCCCTTTTTCATCGAGTAAATAACGAGAGGAGAGCTTCTGATGGGTGCAGTACTTTAATTATTTTGCATTGAGGGTGTGCAGGACGGTTGAACACCACCAACATTAATCTCTTTAACACATTGAGCACCGTGAACCAGTCAGGAGAGGACCCGGGGAGCTCTAGCCAGCAGCTCCGCCGGGTTCCTCTCGTGAGAATTGAGCGTTGCCACCAGGGATGGCACATGGCAGCAAGGATCCCCCCTCCCTACATAAGGTAAGAAGGGAGGGGGGATATTTACTAATCTGCCCCACCTCCACCCCCACAATCCCTCCAAACATACAGCACACACACACCCTCACACACACAGCACCCTCACACACAACACCCTCACACACAGCACACTAACAGCACCCTCACACATACACACACAGCACACAAACAGCACACTCACGCACAAACAGCACCTTCACACACAGCACACTAACAGCACCCTCACAAACACATAACACACACACACAGTACACTAACAGCACCCTCACAAACACACACACACAGCACCCTTACAAACACACAGTACCCTCACACACAACACCCTCACACACAGCACACTAACAGCACCCACACACACACACACACACACACAGCACACAAACAGCACACTCACACACAAACAGCACCTTCACACACAGCACACTAACAGCACCCTCACAAACACATAACACACACACACAGTACACTAACAGCACCCTCACAAACACACACACACAGCACCCTTACAAACACACAGTACCCTCACACACAACACCCTCACACACAGCACACTAACAGCACCCTCACACACACACACACAGCACACAAACAGCACACTCACACACAAACAGCACCCTCACACACAGCACACAAACAGCACCCTCACACACAGCACACTAACAGCACCCTCACAAACACACACACACACACACACACACAAACCCTCGCCCACATAGCACACTACCAGCACCCTCACACACACATCACACTAACAGCATTCTCACACACAGCACCCTTACACACACACACACACACACAGCACCCTCACACTACTCTCACACAGCACACTGACAGCACACACACCAGCAGTGTATGTATGTATATGTGTATATATATATATATATATATATATATACATACATATACATGTGGCGTGTGTTTGTGCTTTTTTAATGCAATAGGCTGCGCACGCCTGTGAGTACAATGTTCCTTTCAACAGTTCTCTCGCTAAACTCGCTGAACAAAAAAATAGGGTTTCCTAATTATTAAGATTATTAAGAGGGACCAAACATATACCCCATCTCTTCCTCTAGCCTATGTATGAATTGTAGTGACTTCAAAGAGAGAAAAGAATAATTAATCTATACTTATACATTCTAAAGAAATTGAAATAAGTAAAAAAGCACACTTGAGGGACAGTTTTGTCTTCTATAATTTATCATATCTAGTTGATCTCTGAACAATATTTACATTTATTTCTCCTGCTTTGGGGAATACCTTATATTCCTAGGATTTTCATCTATTTAGAAGTTATTTATTACAAGGTTCAATTTTTCTGAAAGGACTAAAATGGCCACACCAAAGTGCATACTTTAGAAAATTAGACACCTCAGAGGGGATCCTTGCGTGGAGTGCTCGGGTGCTCACCCCAAATAAATCTAATCAGAACTCCAGACATAGCAAAAGGGAATTTGGGGCTGCAATCCTAAAATACAATATCACCGCTGGAATCCTCTGGAGCTGGAAGAAAGCGCTGGTCAGTGATTATAGCCCATTCCCCAAGTAACTGGACGACACACAGTTCTGGGAGTCAACTGATTTTTATTTGGCTACACATAGCTTTTTATGCATGGCCCAAAGCATGGGATCTTACAGGGTTTTTTCCCAGGAGTCTCTGGGACTGAGATATAATTGAGCTCTAAACTGGATAACTCAATTTTCTCTCAGTTACAGGAAATAACATATAATATTATAAATCACCCCAAAAACATATGAAAATGGTATCGGAACCCCACAAGTCTTATATTCCTGAATATCCAGTTTAGTAAATATCTTTTAACCTGTCAAGAAGTTCTGAAATAAGCGGTATAGAATAAGTGTTCTTTATAGTGACTTTATTGAACGCCCTGTAATCAATTCAAGGACGCAGATCACCCTCCTTTTTTAAAACAAAGAAAAACCCTGCTTCCGCTGGGGAAAAGGATCTGTGTATATTACCTTTAGTCAACACATCCTGTATATATTCCACCATGATTTTACTTTCCAGATGAGACAGGGTATAAACTCTCCCTTTCAAGGTATAGTACCTGGCAATAGATCTATAGGACAATCATAGGAACTATGTTTTTTGAAACTCAATCTATCTAAAATGGAGTTTCTTATTTTTCCTCCTCATAACACTGATCCTCCTTCTTCACTCTCCCTGCAGGTTAACGGTACCTGCCTCACCCCATCCTTTCAAGCTTGCTCTCCTGGTGTCATTTTTGAGCCTGGCCTCACCTTCGCTCCTCATGTCCTGTCTGTTGCTAAAACCTGTCGATCCCAGCATAAAAACATTGCCCGTATATGCCCCTTTCTTATGCAAGATGCTGCCAAGGAGCTTGTCCATGCTCTAGTAATCTCTCGCATGGACTACTGCAATTCCCTCCTAATTGGTCTCCCCAGAAGCCGTACTGCCTCTCTACAATCTGTGATGAATGCTGCTGCCAGGCTGATCTTTCATTTTGTTATTGTCTCATTTGGTAAATTCCCCTCTTATTGTAAAGCGCTGTGGAATAAGCTGGTACTATTTAAATAATAACCAATAATAATAATAATGCGGTGGAAGTGTATCAGCATGTACTTTGTTAAACACCTCCTTTACCTCCCCATATTGGGAGGGAGCCGTAGTGGACAATGGAGAGGCAGTAGGAACATTGATTGTACCCAATTGTTTGTTTATAGACTTTAAACATCTGTTACTATACCCATCACCACACTTTCCTCCAATCTATACGTGGATAATTTTTGATTAGCCATGGAAAGCCAAGTACAATGGGACAAGAGGTTGAGGAGATAACCTGGAAAGTGATCTTTTCTTTATGCAAGGCCCCTACTTGCAATGAACCAGGTGAAGTCTCATGGGTAATGAGCGGTTTCCTAAGAGGTCTACCATCTATGGTCTCAACGGCCAAACCTTAGAGGTATATTGTTTGTGGACACAAAGTGAGCATCTATAAAGCTTTCTGCTGCTTTTGAGTCTAATAGGGTTTTGCAATTGACCTCAAGGTCATTTAACAGAATGGCAACAGAAAAGAGAAGTCTTGAAAGAGGCATAGTGGGAGACATATACATAACACCCGAGGCCGGTCCCTTAATGGTACTTATGTGCGAGAGTTTTCTGAACGTATTGGGCAATTGACCCTCCTATGTCCCTTCTTGCCACAATACATACACAGACCCTCAGTCTTCCTCAATTGTCTCTCTGCTTCCAATAACCTCATAACCTCCAACTGCATAGGTTCAGGTTCAGCAGCAACAAAAGGGGGTTTGTGTACAACAGGGTTGGAATAGTGGGAAGCGAGAAAAATGCAATTCATTCTTGGTCTGTTTCTGATACATTCTCTTTCTCTTAGCTTGCTATTTGCATCATAACTCATTAAGTTTTTCTGGCAAGTCCCTGGCAGCAACCTCATCTAGAATGGTATCGGACAGGCCTTCAGTGAAAGCAGGGATGAGGCCACTGTTTGTCCAATCCACCTCTGAGGCAAGGGTACAAAACTCCATGGTATAATCAGCAACAGATCGATTGCCATGTTTTATGCGCATGAGGGCTTTGGCTGCATCTTTTTCCTTACTCAACGGCTGGACTTGTTGCTCTCCCATAAAGGATTTGCCCAGGTTAATACCTTCCCTATCAACTGATTCATCAGAAAACTAATCTTGGATCTATCGTAAGGAAAGGAGCCGGGGTAGGCCTCAAAGTGGTACTCAATTTGGTTAAGAAAACCACAGCATTCTTGAGCATTATCACCAAAATGTGGGGGTGGTGAGAGGGATATAGACAAAGCCTTGTATATTATGGGTACAACAGCAACAGAAGGGGCTAGAGGAGGCCTTTGATCCTCTGGTTGGAGGTGAGCAGCACGGGCCAACAATGTCTGAAATGCCCAGCCTAATTGATCCACACGGTGATCATTGTCTTCAGCCTTCTCTCTCAAGCCAACATGTGTTGACCTAACTCTGCAGGGTCCATGTCCCTGTCGTA